AAGCTTGTGCTCTGGAATCCAAAAGAACACAAGACAAAAAAAAGATTTTTAAAAAAGGAACAATGAATAGGAAAGAAAGATCAACTGAGCACATCCAACATTTGTCATATAAAAGCTGGAAGAAAAGAGTACAGAATGATGGAGAGCAATTTTTTTTAAAGTAACTGTTATTTTTTGGCTTTCAAATTTAACTTTTATAAGCCAAATAGTAATCTTAAAAATCAAAGCATCTGCAAATAGTTTTTTCGTGTATAAGCATCACTATTTAAAAATTTTATTTTTAACCTATTTTTCCAACTTTATTGAAGTACCATTGACAGATAACATCATGTAAGTCTAAGATACATGTGTATATATTGCAAAATGATACCACAGCAGGGTTAATTCACAACCTCCATCGTCTCCCGTGACTACTGATATTTTTTCAATATTTAAGAAATATATAGTCTTCAGAACAGAATGTTATTGTAAGTACCCAGCAGAAAACAAATAAGTAAATCCATTATACAGACACATTGCAGCAAAACTGCAGAATGTATGGGAAAGAAAAGCTAATACTCTAAATCAATCAAAGAGAAATACATTACCTATAGTAAGAGAACAGTTAGAATCAACATGATTCTTCTCAGCAATCAGAGAAGCAGAAATGAAAGAACTGTATCTTAAAATTTGCATAAAAAGAAAAAATAGCCTCTTGATTTAGAGTTATTCAAGATGAAATATCATACAAACGTAAGAGCAAGTTATGTTTCCTCTTCCACGACCTTTTCCTCCTCCTTTTCCTTCCTGAAAAATTCAATCCTAAAGCCATTAGATGCAGCTGAGCAATACAGGTGTCCACACCAGACAAGGGGTGGGGGCTGGAGAATGGAGATGGGTGACCCACGGTGTCAGGGTCAGAGCAGAGCGAGGAGAGGGGGACACGGGGCAGGGGAGGGCAAGGTGGGCAACTCAGGAATATGGGCCAGGACCCTAGTAGGGCCAGAAGACTCCAGCAGAGTAAGAAGTGTGCCCACATGGAGAAGTGAGCTGGCTGGGTGTCAGTGGAAAGTGTGTTGAGGAGGGCGTCCACATTGGGTGATTATGGGAGGCTGGTTACATTCAGAGGAATGGATCACATAAGTAAATCTATTAATTCTAATGGGAGCTGTGTTTCTCACTATTAGAAAAGAGTTACAAACATGGAAAGAAAGGTAAGGACGAGCCTCATGGTTTGGGCTTGGAATGAGAGCTGTACTCGTGGTTTTCTAGATAGATCGATAAATGTAAGTATTTTTATATTCCTAAGTTAGGGTTCGATCAGAGAAACAGAAGTACTAAGAATAATACAGAGTAAGGAATCCATTGTAGAGATTTAACCTCATGCAGTCATGCGGAGAAATCGTTCCTGAAAGGAAGAGCCAATCCATGTGGCCAACTTCACTGCTGTCTTATTTTAAGCAATTGCCACAACCACCCCAGCCTTCAGCAGCCACCACCCTGATCAGTCAGCAGCCACCAACATCAAGGCTCCACCAGCGAAAAATTCTGACTCACTGAAGGCTCGGATGATAATTAGCATCTTTTAGCAATAAAGTATTTTTTAAGTTAAGATTTATACGTTGTTTTTTTAGACATAATGCTATTGCACACTTAATAGACTATAATATACTGTGAACATACACTGGGAAACCAGAAAATCCATATGATTCACTTTATTGTGGTGCTCTGGAATTGAACCCACGATATCTCCCAGCTATGCCTGCAAAACTATCTGTATATATACATAGGTCCTCTGTCTACACAGATAGATGTGGATTCAGATACAGGTTATACATATAGTTACATAGATACATAGAGAAGGTGTCTGTTTCTGCTTGTGCTCCTGTGGTCTCTTTATGTGTGCATGTGTATGTATTTATACCTGTATCTACAGCTGTGGGTATCTCCTATGACAGAAGTATAATTATATATCCGTATGAAAAGACTGGCTGATAACACTTAATGGGGACCTGAACTTTGTTCATCTCTAGGAAAAAAATAGAACTATATTTTTACCACACATTATGCACAAGAAGTGTGGATTTTTGTCTTAAATTTAAAAATGCTTTATCAATATTATTACCTAAGCATACGTATATGTACACAAACTTCCTTACACATAAATAGGGTAGAATATTAACAATAAAAAATCTGGACAAAATATGCACAGGTATTTTTTTTTGCACTCTTCTTATTCTTGGAACTTTGGAGTTTGTCATGATTTCCAAATAAAAGTACTTTAGAAGACATTAAGGGGGAATAAATAGTAGCCATAGACTGGGGAAGAAAAACAATACAGGGAACTAAAAAAGGACTATTTCCTAGAAAATGTAAAGAAATCTAAAAAGTCACTCACAGAAAGAAATAAACCCACTATAAAAATGAGCAAAGTATCTGCACAGGAAATTCAAGCAACAGGAGAATGCAATGGTCAATAAGCATATGAAAAGGTGGCCAATCTAACTAATCCTAAAAGAACTGCATACTAAAAGAAGAAAGCTTTATTTTTATCCCAGTGATAAAAATTGCATGGTTAAAAGGAGAATGCCAAGAGTAGTTAAAGAAAAAAAAGAGAGAGAGAGAGAGCAAGCCATGCACTACTGGTGAAGAATAAATCAGGACAGCCACTTTGGGGAGCAATCTATTACACACATGTGCAGGAGGCAACTCATTATTGACAAGGGAATGTCTCAGACATTGTCAAATTAGGGGAGTGCCCTTCTGCAGAACTGAAATGCTAGTAGCTCTCTGGGTTGACCCTCTGGAGCAAGTTTTGGAAGCACGGCTGTGTTCTGTACCTTTCTGTGGCAGCAGGTCGGGACAGCATAGATGCTTTGAACACCTGGCTTAGTCACTGGATTCACACATCAAAAAGATGTACATCAGATAACCAGATGCAAGCCAGTGACTCAGCAAGCCACTTGGTCGTTTCCAAGTACACAGACCTTTGTTTGCTGGGGTGAAGTTTTACAACAGACTGTTTCAACACTTGTGGTAACAGAATATCAAAACCCCTCTTGCTGAGACATTTGACCAGAGTGGTGAGAGGTGGGATTTTGATGTGGAAATTTGATTAAAATAATAAGTTTCATCATTGCTATTTTGTTTTGATAGTTTAAGCACAAGTGGAAAATAGTAGAGGGTATTGTTTCTTTGAAAGTAGCACTGGTGACTCAATATTTTAAATGCATTTGGACACCTTGAGGTTTTCCCTTTGTGACAATTTCTTACTCTGTAACAGACAAGGTATTTACAGAGTTCTTGTTGCAACAGCCCACAGACAGAAACTTCCCCTCATTAAAAAAAAAATGTTTGCTACTGAATATTGTAATCCTCATGCATGTCTGTTTCATCCACACTAGCCTGAGTTTGCTTTCAGGTGTGCCTTCTTGGGGGTCATTTTATTAAGATGAACTTATATGAAGTGTTATGTCATTATTTGCTACTCGCTTGCGTCAAACATTCATTTGGTTCAGTTGCAAATTTTATTGAGTGCCAACAAGGTAACCCGTCTTGACCCTGGTGCTGGATATAATAATAATCAGCATTTATTGAACATTTATTATGTGCCAGGCATTGTTCTGACAGCTTCATGTGAATTAATTCATTTATTCTTGCCAAGAACTCTGTGGGGCAGATGCTATTATTATCCCATTTTATAGGTAAGGAAACAGTTGCAGAGAGAGGTTAAATCATTCATTCTAGATGACTCAGTTAGCAAGTGAGGAATCCAAGATATAAACCTAGTTAGGCTTTCAAGAATATACTTGTAGCAGCTATGTTTTCCTACCTCTTTAAAAATCAATCTTATTTCATACCATCAATATAAAAAATAGGTAGATTTTCAACCTAGCACCACAGTATATAATAATTTTAATTCAGTATACCATTTTCACAGTTACAGTTAGTGCAATTATTGACCTTCAGCATATTGTGATGAACAGCTATCGTCTCCTGAATCCTCCTACTAGCAGGGTAGACTGGGGGGTGGGGGTGGGGGGAGCTGTTCACAGTAAAAGGCACTTGGGTATCTTTGGCAAGATTCGTCCCAGTGTCTTGAGTAACAGCTGGGTTTCTGAGAGATGGGAGAACTAAAACAGAATTTTAACACAAGTAGATTAAAGCAATCCTCTTCAAATAGTGCATAAAGTAAAACAGCACGTAATGTATTGTTGCAAATTTGCAATTTTTTAAGAATTTGGGGAAAATTATTCTATACTGAGGAGAGTTTGAATTATTACTATGATGCCTCTGTGCTTGTTCACAAGAAGCTGACGGCTTTAACATTTAAATAAAGTAATTGAAATACCTAATAAATAAAATTAACTGTGTAGGAAGCATATTCTCTTGCCTAATAAAAGACATTATTGAAAAGTAATGAATGTTATTTTTTTAAAGAAGGAAATTATGTAGATTAAAAATTTAACACAGCGGTAAAGACATGCAAATAATAGTCAATGTTCTTTGGTTTAACGGAAAGTTATAGTTTTGAATTGAAAATTAATTGTATTTATGTAGTGGTCAATTAAATAAAAATCAACTAAATGAAAAAATAATTAAATATAGGACAATTAAGTATTAAAAATGAACACTTTTATAGAAAACGTTTTGTTATATTTTATACCTGGGATCATATGCAGAACACCCACCCTCTAAAACAGTCAGTTTTTAAAGGTGTCTTAAAGGAAATCACAACTTTAGAAAGTTTTGGTTTGGGCAGAGAACTGTATGTACAGTGTGTGCATACGTCTTTACTACACTGTCTAGCTACTTGGTGTACGTGGGTGTGTGCATGTGAGACAGTGTGTGTTGATATTACTGTTTCCGTGTTGGAAATTCCCACCAGGACAGACACTCAGCAAAGGCAGCTGGCAATGACAAAAGGTGTTTATTCAAAACCCAGCCCAACCATTCATTAACTTGTGCCCATTTTAAATTGTTAAACCACTCTGAGCCTCGGTTTCTCTGCATGTAAAATGGGGAAAGATGAGATTAGGAACAGCAGGGCAGCAGCTGACACAACGTGTGGCCCATTGTACAGATGCAGTAAGTGACGGCCATGACTATTACTGCTGTTGTTACTCTTGGCATTACTCAGTCACCTGTGGGTAAGTGCTTGGTAAGACTTGGAGAGGAAAGACCTAAGTACTAGGGTTAGACTGGGTGCTCTCAGGGTCCTTCCTTCCTGAGCTCTGTGACTCTCAACACTGCCTCTACCATCCTCACCAGCCTCAGTTGTTTATTGGAATGGTTAGACAGTGCTTTGTTTCTACAGATTGCTTTCCAACTTTTGAAATTTTTTGGTCTTAGAGCAACGTGTTACTCTGTCTGTCTTGCAGGTTAGGAGCCTGATGCCTGGCGCGTTGAAGGGATTAACCCGTGATCCTTCGGCCAGTGACAGACCCGAGATCAGATGCAGGGTTCATTCTCTGAAGCTCTGCCTTTCCTGCCTCTTTCTGTTTGGTCCCTAAGCCGGCAGCAAGCCAAGCACTGCGTTGCGCAGACCGAATTTAGCATCCAGAGCAGAGCGTGTTGGTGGGTGAAAAGTGGCGCTGTTACTCGTGATGCTGTGACAGGAGGGCTAGATCAGAATCTAAAGAATAAGGTGTACTTTCAAATTCCTCTTTTCCTTAAAAAATAGCTCGGGAGTTAGAATATAATTAAAACAAACAAAACCCTCCCTAAGTAGCATAGAAAGAAGTAAGTGATACCAGCCGTAGCTGTTCAGGCAAGGGAGATAGATTGCTTAGGCAGCGAGACGGTGCTTCTGAGATCCCGGTACCTAGAATGATAGAAGCTCAGTAGAAGTTTATGAAATTGACTTGGATTTCTTTGAATTGTGATATTTACTAAATGAGGAAGGAGGGAAATATAGTCAGTGTTCACATAAAGTCTTTTCACTCGGCCCGTGGCAGTAATAAACGTGTGCTCAGTACCTGCCCGCTTCTAAAAGGACAAACTCAAGATACCATCGTGCTTTAAGGACGGAAAGCACAGGGCATTCCAAGTTACGAATAATCACACGGTGGGTGAGGATTTGGGGCAAGAGGCAGAGATTATATGCATGTCCTGTTGGAGCATGAAATGTTCTTGTTGCAAAGATCAGTCATCAACAGCAGGTTGATTTCATTCATATTGGTCAAAGATATATCATTGAAATGACGGGCTCAATTCAGTTAAAAGGGTCCAAACTGTGTCCTCGGACAGGCACAGCTGCAAGTTCTGTATATGCTAAGTAGCGTGATGTTTCTCTTTTCGTTTATGGCTCACGCCCGATGCCGTTGCTAAGTAGATACGTTACAGCGTGCCCCACGGGACAGTACAGCCCTGTGTTTCCCACAAGTGCACCTTGAATGTGTTTGGAGGTGGGAGTTGCCGCATTTAGTGCCTCTGAATGCACTTGACGTGATGTCACATGTAGGATCTGTGGGTGTGTCGATTTGGTGGATAAAGAAACCTAGGTGACACATCACAGCTTCGTAGTTGGCTAGACACACGCCCTTCCATGTAGTGGGCTTCAGGGGCTGGGGCTGGGAATATTTAGAGAAAGATCTTTGAGGCAGAGAGATGGTTCAGTGAGGTGCTAATCCTGGCGTCCAGGGCTGGTATCTAATACTTCTCATTAAACCCTCCCAGGCTCCACGGCGTCATCTGCAGCCTGCAGTGCTTTTCCTCAGGAGAAGAGTTTTGAGTGTCAGAGAGGAAGTTGATACTGGAATCAAGAACGTTGACTCCTAGATGGAGCTGTGCCACCGGCTAAATGTAAGTCCGTGGTCAAGTCTCAGAGCTTTTCTAGGCTTCCTTTCCTCATCTTCCAAATGAATGCTTTGCATAGAGTAAGTCTAAGGTTCTTCACGCCTCTAAATGACATCCCCTGGTTCACTTTCTGCAAATACTTGTCATCTTTCCATGAATGAAGGTGTAAACACAAGTGTCCAAGAACTCTCATTTTCACAGCTAGTGGAAGGAGGAGAAATCACTACACCCCAAAAATCTCTTAAAACACAGGCTGCTGCTGAGTTTCTACTCCTCCTTCCAAACTTTACTGTGAAATTTTGCCTCAGTCCTCTTCTGATTTCAACCAACCTCAGTTGCCCTGAAAACCAAGACACTGGTCGTTTTCAAAGGTCTAAAGGGTTGGAGAATTGTTAAGTAAAAGGTCAACTTTATTAACTGCAATTATATGTAACTTGACTTAAGTGCTTTAGTTAATCTGCTAGAAAGATTCCACATTCATATTCAAATTTATTTAGAGAATGTTTTGTATATGCTAATTAGTGTGATGTTTCTCTTACTTGCCCAGTGACCAGTTAGAGTCCAAAGGCTAAGGTGGAGCGTTTTGTCAGTGGCACCCTCCAGTAGCAGTGAGAATTGTGACGTTTTCCTAACTGGTCTGCGCAGTGAACTGTGGCTGGAAGATCGGACATGTGCACATAAACACGGAGCTCGGAGGGGGCAGGGCAGGGAGAACAGGCTGTTCTAACAGAACGCAAACACACGCGGACCTAGGATGACCCAGTCACTGAGGGTGAGAGGGAAAGGCCTCAAGCAGCAGGCCGGTCATGGGGAAGGGCACCCATCCATGCACTGGCCACAGCTAACAGACCTCCTGTTAGCGATTAACTAAGAGGACCCCATGCAGGACGTGGCCTCAGTGACTTCTCAGATCCCAGAGTGAAGCATTTGCCAGGTGACGAAGGGCTGCTAGTGCTCACTGAGGATAAAGCCTGCTGGTTGACAGTTTCCTACTTTTTCTTGAGAAATTACTTAGCTCCTCTGGGATAACTGTTACCGAGCTTTTGATAAAAATATTAAAATTCTATTTAGATGTACAATGTTTTAATGCAAATTTTTAACCATAAAAACCAAACGCTCCATTCAGTTAAATTAATAGAATTACAAAAAGATGTAATGATAGCAATTAAGTCTTGAAAATGCAAATTTTATAGTCAAGGACAATTACCTCATTTATAGTATATTGGAATGGTGCCAGATGAAGGTAATTTAGATCCCCCCAGCTCACAGTTACACCGTGATGGATATCTTCATTTCATTAGTACAACAAAGATGGGTGAGAAGTTAGACGATACATAAAAAGAGAACTGGAGAGTGTTTGACCTTTATGGTAGAACTAGAACCAGCATTCATTCACTAATTCATCAAGTATTTAATGAGTACGATTATCTAAAATGTTAGTAATATATTTTTTCTGCCTTGGATTTAAAAAAAAACTCGTTTTTTATTTTCAACATCCGCAAAACCCTGATTTCCAGGCAGATCAGATTTCTTCTAAGTCAGGATGGGTCTTTGGTGCGCGGTGTACACCTCTCTGCGCCGCGCAGATGCCCTGGTTCCGTGGTGACTGGAGGGATACCAGACCTCTCCGCAAAAGAACAATGGGTTTTTCACTAATTATCTTCTCTTTTATTCGAGCATTCCTTAGGTAATTTTTGGTGTCTTCAAATCGTACAGCTGTGAAATTGTACTACCTAAATAATTGCTTTTGACATTTTAATATTTTACTATGTATTTTCTGATGTTCTTTATTTTAATGTTATCCTGTTGGCTGCAGTTAATTTGCATAACATTCAGAGCACATTATCCTTTCCACATTACAGGAAGATAAGCAACTTTACCAAAAAGAGAGAGAAAGAGAGATTTCATAACAAGAATGTACGTTTTTCAAGCATCTATGTTTATGTTTTCTTAATGCAATTTCCCCACTTGTATTCATAAAAAACCGTAAATAGCCCGTAATCTCCTTCCTCCCCTCTAGAGGGCACTAGATCACACTCCTGCAGATAGAAGGGGTCAAAGCTAAGCCCTACTTGCTGCTGGTGAATTTTTCCCTTGAGTCATTATCTCCGGAGAGAAAATGATTCCCATCTAAGGGAACCGGTGACTGTGAGAAGAAGGCAGTTGTTCCTCGCTGTCCAGCTCCTGGGAAGAGGGCGACCAGTGTGCTCACGGTGACAGAGGGAGGGGGTGCGTAGTGGGCAGACTCAGGGGGCAGACTCCGGGGACAGACTGCCCACCTTCCTCTGGGTATGGGTGTTGGGCAAATTATTTAAACTTTCTGTGCCCCAGTTTCCTCATCTGGAATATGAGGATTATAACATCTACCCTATAGTGTGTTTGAGAGAATTGAAAACAATAATGTTTATAAAGGACTTAAAACAGGGACTGCCTACAGGAAGCACTCAATGACTCTTAGTTATTATTATTTTAATCACCCCTATGAGTCAAATGGACAAAGACTCTTTAGGACCCTCAGAGAGAGAGAGATGCAACTCCCTTGCACAGAACAGATCCTGACTCAAAGAACTTTTTCAAGAAGCTTATGTTATTGATGTAATAAATGTCAGAACAGAAGGTAAACCTCTTCAAGTTCAGAATGACATGACAACCTCATAATTTTACTTTCTTGGTCACTTTTCAGCCATGAGCTCCAAACCAAGACATCTAGAGTTTATTGTAATGAAAGGTTCTAGGAACATGTGTATATACTAAAGAAATGAATATACATGATAGAAATGTGGCCCTTTTTCAGTATACAGAAAACATTTTTTGTTTATTTTGTCTGATTTCTTTAAATGCCATTTATAGTAAAAGTCATTAGGGACCGTTCCCCCTTCAACTTACTTAGTAGCTAGAAGGACCAACAAGGCTTTCGTGAAGGTCAGTCTCTGTTTCCAGTAACAATGCTCGCGTCTTTGCAGGTTCGTTTTCTTGGTTAATGTATCTGCTAGCATAAGAATTTTGCCAAAATACCCATCTTTTGGGTGGTGGTGATACGCTTCTCTCCTTTCTCCTCCTGATGTTTGTATTTATTTTTGAGGTAAATTTATCAACATCCATTTCTAATGTTCTTCAGTTCTGCTTAGATAACATTCGCAAACATACATGCTGGTGGTGAATCTCCAAAGCATGCCTTATCCAAGAAGCATTGTCGGAAATCCTATGCGTTTTTGGCTATATAAGTGTTCAAAGAAATCTTTACAATCAGTTGGCCCTGATGCTCTCACCTGTGGTAAGAATTCATCAAATGAGCCAACTGATAGTGTCTGCCATAACCTTTGACAGAACTGACTTTGCCCTGGAAACCCATTCAAGCTAAAATCAAGAAACAACCTTTTCCCTGGACTGCATTTCTCAAACTGTCAGATTGTAAGCATTTCAAATATATTTGTATTGCTGTATGAAACTGGCTGCATCATTATTAATGAACTAAACAGCTGTCTTAATAAACTGGTTATGTAGCCAGTTACTGCATCTTCATAATCAAATCAAGTATATTTATATCTCTTGGCGTCCCTGTGGTCTGCCCGATTCCTAGCACCACACACACCAGTTTTTGCAGATCTGTTCAGAACGTACAGGCAAGATGAAAACAAATTCATGTATATATTTTCACTGTTTGTAATGAATAAGTCTGTGTGAGGTAATGGTGCCTAATACGGCCTTAGCCTCTTGACATTAAAGTGGAATTAGAAGCTAAAACTTCATTGTCTGGTTCAAAGAGAGAAATGAATTGATGTCCTTACTTAAAATGGTTTCCTATGCAAAGCTACCAAATTTCTGGCGTTAGAAAAAACAAAGGCACATCTGATACCCTGGCTGCTTTTTCTCAGTTGTAAAATCCCGTCTGTGATCATAATAGGATATTGATTAGTTTGGATGCCATACAAAGCTGAATTGCATTTCTTGGCGGAGCACTAAAGGTCACTGTTTGATTACTCCATAACTTTTCAAATACAAGAAGTGCTATTTAAAAGTGTGCTTGAATGATTGGGCTGTGTTGTGAGAGAGAGATGGTGGCATGGAGCTTCTTTCATAAAGATAGGTTGTCTTTCTTTCATAAAGATAGATGTTAAATTCACGTATCAACTTTACGTTTGACATTCTGAAATATTTTATATACTAGAACATAATCCATGAAATTAAATTATGAATGCAGTTTGTTCATGTTATGACCCATGTGATATCTAATCTATGAAACATATAACTCACTTGAGTTTTTTAGGTATTGAGTTTGTCACAAGGGTCATCTTACACTTAATAGCATTTATTTTCTGAGGTCATAAATGTAAGGCATTCATACTTTAGAATATATAAAAATATAGAACTAGATAAAGAGGATAAAATTACCTATAATTCTGGTTAATTTCATTATTTTCTCTTGCTACTTATCAAAAACTATAAAATCTTTTCTTATAATTATTATATTTGGTACAAATTTTGAAAGTAGATCATCTTATTCTAGCTTTTACTGATTTTCCTCCTTTCTATTATACTGGGGATGTATCCTTACAAATATTAAATGTTATTGGAAAATTAATTCTTAACGACTGCATAGTATTCCATGTTATAAATACAGCATATAATATTTAACCTGTTGATTTGTGCTCATAATGCCTCCCCCAGATCATGCTGTTCGTATGACCTATTGTTTGATTGTTAAGAGCCGTGTGTGGTGGAGAATGACTTTATCTCCTGTGGTCCCACTGCTGTCTGCTGACATCATCACTGTATCCTTCCACTCACTTCCCTGTTTGATATTTCGGGTTTGTCTCTAATCACTGGCAACCTTGCTCTATCCTGACCCTCACCATGTGCCCAAACTAGTATCTTAGACGGTCTGATTGGCCTCAATCTGACTCGACAAGATGAAGACATCCATTGAGTCTGTTGCAAAGATGGGCTAGCAGTGCTCTAACACATCATTAGATTTCAAAATATATTTATTGAAAACATAAATGGCTTGGGGTCAAAGGCTGTTACTCTTTAAGGATCATGAAATATATATTTAAACAGACCAAGAATAAAAGCAAAGAAACCAGTTAACAGACTACTGTAATGGCCCTGAGAAAGATCTTCCAAACCTAAGCTGGACAGTGTAGTAGGTATGGAGAGGAAGTAAAAGAATTACGAATTATTTTTAAAGTAAAATAATCGATTACTGAGGCTGATTGAAAATATTAGGCATTAGGAAATGCAGTGGTCAATAATGATGCCAGGTGTCTTGGGTGATCCTGTTAAAACCATCCATGGAGATGGGGAGCAGGAGGTTAAGGACGTGTTTCGTGGGAAAGAGTTGATTTATCCCATTTGGGACTATTGACTTCAAAATACTTTGAAGTCCTTTACGTAGTTACGTCAGGGAGGCATCTGGTTATGAAGGTTCGTATCTGAGGAGAATGGTTCTGTTTGAAGGTATAAATCGAGTTTTGTCTACATGTAAATATCCAGGAGCGAGAAAATGAAAAAAGAAGTGGACTGAGGGGAAAAAAAGAAAAAGAAACACTATGTTTAAAATGCTGAGCGAAAAAGGAGATTCACAAAGGACTGAGGGAAGGTGTGGCGGGGGAATTAGGAGAATCCACAAGTCTGCTAACCTAAAACTCAGGAAGCAGCTCCCGGAGGACCATCAGCTGTCAGTGAGACCCGTGGTCTAGCAAGGTCACAGCTGAAAGTGCCCATTCAGAGAACGAAACGGCCACCTTAATGAGGTCAGTTCACCTGAAGGAGTGGCCGGAGGAAACACTGCTGTGCTGATTATTAGATGGGAAGCAGGAATTAAGGACTGAAGTCTTTTCATAGGGAGAGTTCCTCCTCCTCTGTCCATATTGGGGTTTAGATGAGCAGAGAGAAGGTACAGGTTCAAGGAAATACAAGGTCAAGGGGGTAGCAGTATTTGTCTCAGTTTTGTTTTGAATAAGAAGAATTTCGACCTGTCTGTATGTCCGAAAGAGTAAGATCTAGCAGAGAGGGAGAGTTGAGGGTCATGGAGAGAGATGTGACAGACGGAAGGTGACCCTGGCCTTAAACAGGAGAGAGAGAGCGTTTTTTCCAGCGCCTGTATTCTCCGCCCTAGTTCAGCTCACTTACTCATAACTCATATATGTGTGTTGGTGTGTGTTGATAAAGTATTTTTTTATTCCTTTAGCAATTATCTGGCACTGAAGAGAGTTTAGTTTTATTTCCTAAATTTTTAGCTGTAAGTCTACAGATCCCAATTAAAAAAAAAAAGAAATCTTCATATTGTCCTTAAAGTAAGACATTTAAAAAATACCCTAAAAATAAGTCCTATCTTTTCTTCGGCATAATTTTTGATCCCCCATATTGAACCCCTAAGCCTCGTTCCTTCTACTTCCAAAGAGGTGAGGCTGCAAGAACAGGTTGCTTCCAAGACTGCTTATACAACGAATGTGAGCAGTTCTCATATAACAAACACGTTTGGGGCAAGAAAATACAAAGAAAGTTAGCCTGAAAAATCTATTGTAGTTGATGGACTTCTTACCATGTTACTAAAAACATCTATATTATAAAGACAGAATGCTGAGCCCACAGTCATGAATTTGAGAGTATTCTCCAAAATGGGCATCAAAATAGAAGTTCTATGAGACTCAAGGAGAAAGGGCTCTGGGAGGACCTGTGTGGGGAGTCAAATGGGTGCTGGACTTCTACAGAATTCCAGACAGTTTCACTCACTTTTAGATAAGGGATCTAGCAGTGACTAACGAGAAGAGAATTTCACTGCACAACACGTATGCATCACGACTGAAGTATTTCCTGTGCTTTGATCATTTAATATTCTGTACGTGATTGAGTTCATCCCGACTCTTCTGTTGGTAACATTCATACAGCCTGAGACAAAGAACTGGATCGAGTATTGCTTAGAAGTATTATCTAAACTTGGGGGACCCATCGAATTCATTGTCTTCGTGGTTTGTGGGCACAACAGAATACATCCATGTTTTCCAAAATTGCATGTTACCGTGTCGGGTGAAACAAGAAGAATCACACGTGGGTGCATGCACGGGCATGCGCTCACACACACAAAGGGAAGAGGAGCCGTGGACAAAGCTTGTGTTATCATATGTAAGATCAGTTGGCACAGCTTATGGGCCCTTTGATGGCGTTCTTTGTCTGATCCAAGTCCAGGATGCCTTGATGATGATGACGTTGGTAATAATGCCAGTAATTATAATATCAGCCTATTTGCTCAAGATGCTGTGGAAAATTTTGTAGGAAGGTCATACTGTTCAACACTGATTTAGATAGAAGTGCCTTACAGATAATAAGGGACCAGTATACAGGTACTGATTTGATTTGAAAAATAAAGTCTCAACAAATATGTAAGTAAGGAAAATGTCAACAAATACATGAATCAGAGGCCTGAGCACAGTGTCTCCCAAGGTGTGTGGAGAGGTGGCACACCCACTGGTCTGAGGCCTGAAGAGGCCGCCAAGTCACGGCATCAGGAAGGCCAAAGAGCGTTCTGTGAGCTCTTCTGGATTGATTCATGTCAGGTTACATGGAGAAAGCAGTGGGGATTCGGGAACTGTTTGAACCGTGGGTGGGAGAGCTCGGAGACCAGGAAGGCATTCCGCAGACAGACGCACGGAGAGCAGAGGTGGTTCGCGTGGGAAGACCTCACCTGAAAGGAGTGGCGAGGGTGGCCGGGGAGCAGGCGGTCCCATGTGAAGTTTAAGTGCATACGATGATCCTGTTTCACCAAGGCAGTAGATCGAGGACCACGGCAGCTGACAGCGGATGTTCGCCCAGCGCTCCGCCCTCGCCGCCCTGAAGTGTGCTCTGTGCTAAGTCAGCCTGAGTTGTTTTCCTTCGTATGAGCGTTGTGCAACTTACTCCTCCTGAGCAGCTCATTAAGCTCCTTACAGAGAGATGTTACTTCTAGATAGTGTATCTTCGGAGCTGTTTGCACATTGTAAGGGTCTAATGCTCCCTAGCTGGGTAGTGGTATCACTGTTTTCTGAAGTGGTCCCTCTGGGGCCATCCTTTCCAAAGTTCCCGAAGTCCCCTGCTTCCTGTCAGTGTGGTTCAACCTACCTGGCGAGGAGAAGGGTTGCAGCAAGCTTCAGTGTTCCAAAGGAAAGATCATTTATGAGCTGCGTAAAGCGATTGCGACCTGAAGCAGGAAAGCATCAGGCATGCCCAGTTTTACCGAGAAACCTTCTCGTCACTTGCTTATATCATTTTTAAAATATCTTCCCAGTGGGTATCACATTTATAAAGTCTTGAAAAACTTCACGCGGTTTTGCAAAGAGGACTCAGACTAAGGGTTTCCATCCCCCTTTTGTTTGCTGGGCCCTGTTGTTCCCTCTTTTTGCAGTACTTTAATGAGCAGGGAATTATTCACAATTAATGATAGCCAATCACTACAGTGGGGAATATACACTTAGGAAATTATGACAAATAGCCACACACCGTGTGATCAGGGTATACAAATTACACCATAAGCAGAAAGGAGCTATGCTTGATTGGAGCAATTAAATGTTTTCTTTTAAAAAACGTAACTCCACAGAGAATATTTTAGAAAATGACTTTTTAATCATCTGTAGAACTGCTAAAATTATTGCCTCATAATAGTTTTAAAGTACGGCATGTTTAGAATTAACTGTAATCCCTTTGCCTGGCCCTGGGTGTCTCCCCCCAGAAACCCGTTTACTTGAAACCTATTTTTAATCACAGACTTAACATCAACCCGTTCTCCTTTTGGATAAAATGACAGTCACTTCCTGGGATTAGAAAATGTGACGTTTTGGCTTTGGTAAACAAGCAGGCACTGCCTGCTCTGTACAGCCAGATTAGGGAACAGAAAATTCTGAGCAAGTACGCTTTGTCACCTTGTAGTTGGACTGACCCCATCGGATAGGAACTTGGCCGAGGGTCGAGGGGAAGTTCTGGGGAGCTTCAGCAGACCACCATCATTGCTGCAGGGTCACTCTACATGGAAGCTGAGACGCTACCTGATCACAAATTAAATAAAATTAAAAATTTCCCATTGTCTTCCATCACAATAGTTTAAACCCTTAATTTGGATTTTTCTCAATTTTTTAATATATACCTACAACATATGGATTCAATTTCGTAGTCTCCTTTTTCACAAGATAATAAGTTGCACGAATTTTCATAATTTGACTTTTTTTGGTACCCCCTGAATAGTTGCATGATTCATTTAATTAAACTAATACCATGAGAGAAATTTATCTTATCTCTGTTTAAAAACACTTCTCATCTTGATTATTTTGAATTTTCCACACTTTCCCTGATGCCTAGTTTTTCCATCTTGTCTGTATATTCACATGAAGATAAGCTTTCCCAAATGCGCATCCACAGTCCACCTGAGCTCACACAACTTCGGGGGGAACTGACAGTGGGGTTATCATGAATGACCTTTTTTCCCCGACTTTTCATGTATTCCTTACCTTTTTCCTAGGCAGCGTGGCTTGAAGAGATGTGTTTGTTGTCGGGTCAGCAACCTCATTCTGGATGCGTGAAGGGAAGCTGTCTTTCTCACCAAAAAGATAGCTAAATATAATCACTTAAGGAAAGCTGATGTACCTTACAGAAAGAAAAGAAAGTTTCCAGACTTTCAATTTACACAGCGCTATCTCCAAAGTCTGTGAGGCCGGGAATCTGGCCATCTCTATGGATTATACAGATCTGTTTCTTTTGGTCCTTTGTTGGTTTCTTCACTTTCACCATCTTTGTAGCTTCTACGTTTCCAAATTGAGTCCTGGTCTTCATGTGACGTGTAAATAGTAAAATGTCCATTTGACCAGACTCGAGTGCGTGGGTGACTTGGATCGAAACTAGAGAAATCTCCAAATCAGATAACGTCTAAACCGTTCTGAATACGATCTTTGATCACATTAAATAATTGTAATCTCCTTGTCTAAAACTCTGGGATCTAAGCCCAGGGCAGATCTCGTTGTTAAGGAGTCAAAACTTAGACAGATATGATAAAATAGCAAAAGGCTAAATATTCTGTAAGTTCTCAGCGCTATTCTTTCATTCTCATTAGCATATTTAGTTGTTTCCAGTGAGACCCCTTTGCAGCAGACACAGAAAGACGACGTGTCGCTGCGCTGATGGGTGGTACCATTTGAAATCCACACAGGCTTTCTGTCCACCTGCTGTGCTTCGTTCCAGTACACGTTTCTATGATTAATTTGATTTTTCTTCAGTACGTCCGAATGGTCTGAGTCATTTGTGTTTGTGCATTTTGTGCTGTGGATCAAAGTGGGCTTCTGCTTTCTAGGAAGTGGGCTGTTGAGGAATTTGAATTCCAGACTCTCTATCACAGATGCCTATGGATCCTGATTCCTTCCCTGAGACTTACAGTCCCACACATGCACGACCCCAGCCTCCCTCTAGAGAATTCAAGCATTCTGAACTTGGATGAGAAAAATTACCTCTTAATGTTTTGCTAATACATGACAGAATTTTTTAGCATTTCCTTTCATGTTTAATATCATCAGAAAACTGTGGTGGTAGTAGCAGTACTTAAGGCTTTGTCACCAGTGAAAAGCATGGGTACATTCCTATCACCTTGTCACCGATCTCCTGGAACGTGACTCATGCTCGGCGCGCCTTCAACATTGTGATGGTGATTCGATTCCACCATTTGATCTTGTCATGTAATAAAGTGGTGAGGAAGTGTGTGCGTTGTACTATCAGAACGGCCTTCACATTCTGATAATTTTAGTATAATTCGTTTCCTTTGTAACCTTAAGTACTTTATTTCTTTAAAAGTGTTATTCTGAGAATGGATTCATGGCTTTCATCCGACTGGCAAAGAAATCCATGACTCAAGAAGGGTGAAGAAACCCTGCGTCAGGTTACATTAAAAAGGTAGATCACTAGTTGGAAAAACTATGTTTTACTCTCTTCTGCAGAGTTTCAGGTACATCAGGGCTGAACTGAAGCTTATTGCTGTATCTATATTTTCCATCAGATTTATCTTCATGTTTCTGTAAAATGCGTTAGTGCATCATTTGCTGAGAACAGGTTGAACCTCAGCATGTGTCTGCTCCTAAGCAAAGGTGCTGAGAAATACACAAGCTACAGAGCTGCAGGCACGCCGAGTTGACCAGGTTATGACCTGCAGTACAGCCGGAGCACAGTCATCTTCTACATACTCAGTACATGTTAACAGTAAGTGCAGAAGAAGAGAGGACAAAGGAAAAGTCAGGCATATGGACCCCAAATGCTGGGTGAGCTTGCATGGAAGGATGAGGTCTGAGCTGGAAACCGAATACGGTTAGAATTCCAGTAGACAGAGGAGTCGGCCCTCGTGGTTAGACGGAGAGAAGGAGCAGAGGAGAGACACGAACAGTCAGCCTCCCTGCTCCCAGCCTGCTTTGTTTTTCATCATAGCTCTTAAAACAACCTGGAATGTATGTATGTATTTAATGATCCATTGTCTCTGATTAAAATATAAGATCAGGAACTTTGTTTTGTTCACTGGTGTACCCTGAGTACAAAGAAATAGTGCCTGGCACATAGTAGTTGCTTGATAAAAAATTACTGAAGGAAGAAACGAGAGAGGGAGAGAAAGAGAGAAGGAGGGAGGATGTGACAGAGAGGGAGAGGCAGTGACTGTGTGGCCGGAGAAAACGGACCAGAACGGTCCGATCAGAGCAGAGCGCGAGTGTAGAAACATGAAACTCCAAATGGAGTGGTTAGTACTTACTGCGCCCTTAAGAGAATTAACCTGTACAACCGGTAGCTGGGAGCCAGCTAGAAGGCACTCTATCTAATAAGCTAATTAACACCAAAGTTCCCAATTTTAGTTCTGGGAACATAGCAGGGGCTCAAAAAATGTTAGCTCTTCTTTCCTGATATTTAGATGTTTACGTTTTAAACTTAATGATTCGATGACACAAGCCTCACTTTAATTGCAAAGAGTGTTTCATTAAAATATGTATCAATTTTAGAAAAACTGAAATAAAAAATTCTTCCCCTTGAGAACCTTTACCGCATAGAGTCAACATGACTGGCTTATGCTGTTGAGCAGAGCACTGGGTTGTAGAGTTCCTTAGGTTCCAGCCCTCAGTGGCTCACTCAATACATTATTGAACATTTATTAAGACATTTATTAAGACCCAGGCACAACGTTTAGTTCTTCCTATGGCCGAACTTGTTCAGAGACACTCATTCAACTGAATAAAATGCTGCCATTGCGGAACTCTTGGACATAATATAAACTAATCCTTTCATTTCTCGGGTTAAAGATAAACAAAACAAAAAACCTCAGAGAGACATGACCCTTGTCTAACTTGAACATAACTTTCCCGATTCACAGAGATGCTCTTTTTGCCACCTTCTCTGCTGGTATCTTGAGCAAACGTTCACCAGTGTGACCTCTAAGTGTCACTATTTTAGTGAACCTTTAAATGCCAGTTCCCATAGATTGGAAGTGTTCAATTAAAAATTTTAAATGAAATAAAGGAATGGGGGAAGGAAGGGAGGGAGAGAGGAAGGAAGGAAGGAAGGAAGGAAGGAAGAATAAATGAATGGATGACTAGATCATCTTTTCAAATACCTGTGTGAGGCCACAGATCTACTCTGCTGTAGAGTTTACCATCTCTCATGTTAAGTGTTTGTAATCATGGGTGGTGGAGACAACTTCAAAGCTTGCATTTCCCATTACTTTATAAGGAAGAGAATTAAATTTTATTTTTGAGGTTTAAGAGGTTAAGGATTAAAATTTATAAATATGTATAAAGAAGCACTTCTTATAATTAAAATTTTAGATCTAGGGATGGTAACAGATAATAGTTAGGTATAAGAGAAAGGTTATAAATTTGAATTTTAAGCATTTTAATTGTATGTACTAGCTCCACTGGTTTTACCTTTTTCAACCCCAGTTCTGTCGTTATAAAGAATAGATAATGTTGATATATACTACCTGGGCTATAGGATTATTTTAGACTTAAATGTGGTAACACTTGGGGAAGTGGTTAATTCTTGGGGAATAGTTGTTACTGCTATCCAAAATTTTCCGAAGTACCAAATGATGACCCCAGGCTATGTATAAGGATTAACCTTGTATCTGGCAGAATTACATAAATAATTACCAGTCACTAGACTGCGGGACACTGTACTAATGTTAATTATTTGTATTCACATCTCACCCAAGTTACCTTTTTGGTCTCTTGATTAACTGCATAATCAAAAATATTAATGATGGCAAGAGAAAAGAGCTTGGAATTAATTCCAAATCTCAAAAACTTGGACCCAGCAAAATTTCAGTAATGAATTGCAAACCTAGGGTTTCCTTCAAAGAAAATATGGGTGGATTTCATTCGTTATTGTTTAATCATCTCCAGCCCTGTCAACGCAAGAGTTTGGAAATGAAAAACAAGCTGGGACGGGGTGTGTGGATGGGGACCGTCCGGAAGTGCCAACATCTTGAGGACTGCCCTATCAGAAGAAGCTATGGCATCTCAGTCCAGCTTCTGCCTTTCATCATGTTAACCTGGTGATGGAAGCTGATTCTCACACAGGCTGTAAATTGTTACAACCTTCAGACTGGAACATGCATGCTCTCAAATGGAGTGCCCTGCTACAGTGAACCGATTAAGTCTCCACCAAGAAGACAGCGTACCTACTCCATTTTCCAGATCTTCAAAGAGCAGCTGAAGGATCAAGTAACTACGGAAAGATTTAAAAGGGCGTCAACATGAGCAAATCAAATAGATCTGCTGTTCGCAGCCTCTCTTCACCATCCAGTGCAGATGGGCGCTGGAGAAGCTACAAGCCTGTACTCACACGTGCACCCTCGCGTGTGTGCGCGCCCGTGTGCGCGGGTGCACGCACATGTGTGGGGAGGGCTTTGGAACAATTTACAACTGCCGGTCTTCTGATGAATGAAGGCATCAGAATAGCAGATGTAGAGTGTGGGGCTAGAGAGTGAAAAGCTAAGCGCTGCCTTGGAGCGCCAGGAAATGGAGCCAACATGGTGAAAACCATCAAGCCGCCCGGGCTGTGAATGTTTCAATGTACAATAAAGCACTTCGGTCGCTGCCTTTAAAAAAGAAACCCAACTGGTAATGTTTGCAAGTGTTTCCTGAAGGCGTCACTGAAATACCACCAGCAGCTAACAAAGGGGAGAGGGTGAGTCGGCGGCGGCGATGTGGGGGAAAGGCGCTAGATGACTCTGGCGGGCAGCGCGCTAAGCGAGAGGCGCGGGTGCGGTGCGGGGCCGCGACCCGGAG